AGCCTCTTTATGTAAAGTCACAAACACAGGAAAGAAAATAATTAACACTTAAAGTATATTTAAGCTGAATTCATTTGTTTTGTTTACTCGGTACTATACAATATATGCGTGTCCAAAAAAGTACTGTGAGTGCAAGACATTACTTGTGTTCTATCATAGTGCTTAGAGCATACTTAAAAGATATCCAGGTGCAGAAGGACACACACTTATCTCAAAGTGCTTCATTAATGAGCCCCGTCTCTTCCAGGCCTAATGAAGAGGCTGGAGGAGGAGATCAAGATCAACTCCTACATGGTGTCTGAGAAGCTCCCCAAAGAGCTGGAGGTCATGAGGCGCTCGGTGCAGTACCTCCAGAAGATATCGTCAGAGCCCGCCATGGGCCAGGCCGACCTGCAGGAGCTGGAGGACAAGGTGAGGATGGGGGCTTCGTCTATAGCAGGGGTGTCCAAACTGTTTTCACCGAGGGCCACATACAGAAACATATACGAAGGGCTGGGCCGCTCACTAGAGGTATACTGCCTCATAAGTTCAGTTATAAGTTAGCAAAATCAATCAAAAGTAGGTAAATGATGCTCGTGAGTGTTGGCAGCTCATCCCTTAAAACAGAAGCCTCTGATTGATGATGATCAGGAGAAATAGGAAGGGTAGATTTCACGCTTGTTATGGAAATAAGTTATTGGGCTTTTTTCTTATCAACTAAGATTTGTTAGAAAATGTTTCCAACTTTAATTGACTGCATTTTTGTTTGTTGAACAGTGATTTATTACCACATGAATACTACTGTGCGATATATTTTTACATTTAAGAAGTACAATATAAGGAAAGCACAAGTTTAATTTGTGGGCCGTATTCTGTTATACTTTTTTTATTTGCTGAGGGCCGATTCATAATGGTCCGCGGGCCGCATTTGGCCCCCGCGCCGTAGTTTGGACAACCCTGATCTATATAATAATAATAATAATAATACATTTTATTTATAAAGGCGCCTTTCAAGGCTCTCAAGGTCGCCGTACAAGGTTCACAAAACACAAGTAAAAAAAAACCACGACAATATAGTCAATCAATAAAAACAGCAAAGCAGAGGATGTGTGATGTGATCAGGGTGAAGAGATATATTTTGAGACGTGATTTAAAAATGGTGAGGGAGTCAGTATTACGGATGTCAGGTGGGAGGGAGTTCCACGAAAAGCTTACTTGCTGTTCTGCAGAAGATACATGAACATCCACTGAGGAACGATTTGTGCATTCATTTCTTATCTGACATTAAACATTATCCGTGTGCATGTGATGTGTAAGTCAGTGTGTACGTCAGTATGTAGTGTGTAAGTCAGTGGGATAGTGGTGGTCTAGTGGATAGTGAGGTGGGCTGAAGATCGGAAGGTTGTGAGATCCCGCCAGGAACACCAGCACTAGTGTGCCCTTGAGTAAGGCACTTAGTCCTTAGTTACTCCAGGAACTGTAATTGTCCCTGTAATTGGTCATTGTAAGTCGCTTTGGATAAAAGCATCAGCTAAATGACATGTAATGTAATGTAAGTCAGTGTGTAAGTCAGTGTGTAGTGTGTAAGTCAGTGTGTAAGTCAGTGTGTAGTGTGTAAGTCAGTGTGTAGTGTGTAAGTCAGTGTGTAGTGTGTGAGTCAGTGTGTAAGTCAGTGTGTAAGTCAGTGTGTGAGTCAGTGTGTAAGTCAGTGTGTAGTGTGTAAGTCAGTGTGTAAGTCAGTGTGTAAGTCAGTGTGTAAGTCAGTGTGTAGTGTGTAAGTCAGTGTGTAAGTCAGTGTGTGAGTCAGTGTGTAGTGTGTAAGTCAGTGTGTAAGTCAGTGTGTGAGTCAGTGTGTCGTGTGTAAGTCAGTGTGTAAGTCAGTGTGTGTGTCGTGTGTAAGTCAGTGTGTAAGTCAGTGTGTGAGTCAGTGTGTAAGTCAGTGTGGGTATTGTGTGGCATATAGCTCCATTCATTACATCCATCCCTGTGTGTTTGTCTCTGAATGCTCTTCATTGGTCACAGATTAAAGAAGCCGACTCTCAGATCAATCAGCTGATAGAGAAGAGGATGATGAGGAGTGACCCCATGGACGACAAACTGACGCTCTACAGGCAGCAGGTGATGCATTTATTCAATGTCTTTCATCCTTTTATCTATTTTGATCTTTTGTCAATTTAAGCCAAGTTACATGTATCTATAAAGCTCAAGAAAACATGACACTTTGACTGAAGTGGAGTTAAGATGAGAGAACAAATGATAGCTGTATAAAAGAACATTTAACACAGTCTTTCATCTTTTTCTCTATTTTTGTGTTTTGTCAATTTCATTCAATTTATTTCTACCTATAAAGCTCAAGAAAACATGACACGTGGTGTTAAGAGCCCGGCCCGTTTTTGGTTGCGTTTCCACTAGGCGTAGTTCTGGCTAGCGGGTACTTTTTCACAGTTTTCTGGCTCTTCAAAATCCAGGTTCTTTCCGGGCTGAGTATGCTAAACTAGTGAGAGAATCGCTGGCAACTACAACAAGATGAACATATTTGACCGTGATTTAATTGTAATACACGTTTCAAAATGATGCCGAAGTAACAACATACTGATACCGGTTAGTAAAAACCATGAATTAATGCTTTTTCAAGTCTGCAGACAGACGGCAGGGGAAAAAACCTTTTAAAATGCGTGTTTTCTAAATGGAGATCGGCTAAGCTAACGCAGTATATGCTCCGACCGTCCACACTCACAACAACGGCCTATACAGACATAAATAAAGCAGCGACTGTATTCGCCATGACACAGACAGTCTGTGGTTTGTACTTGTTTAACTTTTGTCTAGTTTCTGAACATATATGAGGAGCTGTGAGCTCTGAGTGCTAACAGCTAACGGCTGATGTTGGTTTTGTGTTTCGCATTAAAGATGACGTCACGGCTCCGCCTACACTGCGTTACTATAGTTACTACCCCAGTTCCTAAACTGTAATGGAAACGCAGCATAAAGTGAGCCTGGCCTAACCATACCGTACTAAGCCGTGCAGTGGAAATGCGCCATAAGAAGATTTAACACAGAATCTAAACATTTCAGATCAAACTAACCAACAAATAAAGTTATTATTTCACAAGACCAGTCCCTGCCATCGGTAGATACGGACTGTAATAGAAGCAATAGTATTAGACTGGTAAAAACCTGCAAATGAGATGATTCCTACTTTGCTCAAAAGTCAATACTCAGTATATTTACACAGGAGGCTTCATTAATAACCTCCTATATGTACTACACGCTAAAGTAATATTCATTATTCTAAATTATGTGCGTATATTACTGAAAAATAACACACAGAAAAACCTGATTAATGCTATAACAATGAGCCAATTCCATATCAATAACTCCTCTCACAGGTAAGAAACCGTGCTTGGTTGTCTTTATCAATTAATTCAAACAATACATTCATTCAATTCAACTTTATTCAAAAAAATAAATAAATGTATACCATACCAGCTTTAGTTGTGTCTCTTATATCTTTATCCCACCTCTTTTTGGACATGTGTACTGTAATGCCTTTAATAAAGGGGGTTCAAAAGACCTGTGTTTCCAGGTGGATTTTGTGGCCCTTTAAAATATTGCAAGAGGTCTTTTTATGTTAAAAAAGAAGTGAGAATTAAGGTGAGCACTGACACACTTACTTTCCCCCCCTCAGCAGATGATTGTGAAAACAGCTTTCAGGTGTCTAACTCTGCACACTGAAGCTCACACAAGCAAGTGAAGTAACAACTGGAAGGGGAATAATACTAGACAGTGAAAAATAATTGGTGTATCTACTGTTTCACTAAGTTCTATTCAAATCTGTTCAGTAGTTTTTCTGTAACTCTGCTGAGAAACAGACAGAGGGAATAAGCAGAAGCGGCATTTAACATTTCATTCTTATGCAAAAGATTTTAACTAGTTGATATTTCTTTCCCCGTAACAACATGCCTATAGGTCAATCACCTCCACTCTCGCACACATTAACAGCACAATACAATACAATACAATACAATACAATACAATACAATACAATACAAAAGGGCTTTATTGGCATGACCACATTTTAAACATAGTATTGCCAAAGCATTCCGAACTAGGCGTTATAACGGAACAAAACAAAAATCAACACTAAACATAAATGTTAACACTATGTTGTCATGTGTGTGTATCAACTGTGATATAATGTGACTGTTGCAGGCGTCCATCATCATGCGGAGGAAGGAGTCGAAGGCGGAGGAGCTGCAGGAGGCGAGGGAGGAGCTGGCGTCTGCAGAGAGAGACCTGAGGGGGAGGAGCCAGGCTCAGGACTCTGAGGGGGGGGAGATCATCCGGACAGACGAGGTACTCTCCCCTTGATGACTATTAGGTGTGTGTGTGTGTGTGTGTGTGTGTGTGTGTGTGTGTGTGTGTGTGTGTGTGTGTGTGTGTGTGTGTGTGTGTGTGTGTGTGTGTGTGTGTGTGTGTGGTGTGTGTGTGTGTGTGTGTGTGTGTGTGTGTGTGTGGTGTGTGTGTAGGTGTGTGTGTGTGTGTGTGTGTGTGTGTGTGTGTGTGTGTGTGTGTGTGTGTGTTGTGTGTGTGTGTGTGTGTGTGTGTGTGTGTGTGTGTGTGTGTGTGTGTGTGTGTGTGTGTGTGTGGTGTGTGTGTGTGTGTGTGTGTGTGTGTTGTGTGTGTGTGTGTGTGTGTGTTGTGTGGTGTGTGTGTGTGTGTTGTGTGTGTGTGTGTGTGTGTTGTGTGTGTGTGTGTGTGTGTGTGTGTGTGTGTGTGTGCGTCAAATATCAAAGTATTTGGTGATAAAACTTGATGTAAGACTTTGTTTCTCATAAATAAAAACACTAAAATTGAGAATTATTGACTTAATAAATAGTAAGGATGTGGAGTGCTTTCATGAAGCAGCTTTCAATGAAAAAAGCAGAAATGAAATCTGAGCTGACAGAGAATGCTCAGTTTTAGTTTAACACACACAGTTAAGCTCACACTCACAATTGTATGACCACATAGGTTCACCTGCTGAATTAAAAACAGAACAAATGAAGCCATAAAGCAGATTCACACTTTAAGTATTATCCTACAGAACAGTACAGCTCACAGAGATAACATCTGATCCTTTCCAACAAACACTAAATGCTCTTTTTAGGTTGTCACTAACACTGTTATCCTGTTAGTGATCCCCAATGTTTAGAACAGTAATCAGATTGTTGTTGTAAGGGAGTACAGTTACGTTATCTAAGTGAGCATTGGTGGATTTGCAAACCACAGAAGACACAGGAGGCTATTTCAGTTCTTTATCCAAACACAGGCGGGATCACTGTCTAACGTTACGTTCCCTCTTCCTAACTCTCCCACACATTCCCATGCAGAGCCACAAATAGAGCACAACAGAGAATATCCAGAACAAGGAGCCGTAGTGAAAGACGGCCTTTTGTCCCTCGGCTCGTTTAAGTCAGCTGGACACATAAAACAGACACGGGGCATAGAACCTTTTGTCTTCATTTATATCCCGTGACGAGGATATACTCTCGCAGGGTCTGCCGAGCCGTCACGTCGGGGAGAAAGCCTCGCGCTGTCACTATCTTCTTCTGCCCGTGCATACATTACAGGGATGGATGGGATAGTTAGAAAAGGGCCTCTATGACGTACTTTATTGTCAGGGTATTACAGTAGATGAAGATGGGCATGCCCCAGTTTGGAGAAACCAGGAGGAAGCTGAGCAATAGAAGGAGGCAGCAGCAACATTAAAGGTAGGGTAGGTAAGAGTGGAGGAACCAGCTCGAGTGCGCTAGAATTTGAAAGTACGCAGCCGAAAAAAATCTGCCCCTTCCTTCAGACTTCCTTACAGAGCCCCTCCTCCAACACACACGAACGCGCACATGACCAATGAGGGCACGAGATAAGTTTGTGCACAGATGGAAGGCTGACAGGCAGGTAGGCCATCCAGTTATTTTAGCCGGGCCGGCTCAGATGATTGGTCGTGCTTTTTACAGCGCCACGGCTTCCACAGATTAAATGTTTTTAATGTATTTATGGTCAAAGCATTTAATGTATTCATTGCTATCGGGATGTTAAGAGCATTCCATGGAATATAACAACAAGTGTTTCTGAAGTGAATTACCTACCCCACCTTTAAGTGTAACCTATATTCATGTTTTTTTTAGCGCTTTACATTGCTGTCAGAGAACACTTTGTAAAGGGGAAATTAAAACTCACCTTTAAGAAAACATGAATGCTTTTAGTAGTTTTAGAACATGGGGTAGTGGTGCACTTTAGCCATTTGTGGTTGAACCTAAGAAATGATTATAATATGTCCTCTAAGAAAAATCCAGACCAAAAGAATGTACTTGAGAAAACACGTTGTTTTCTGTAAGAAAAATATAAGTAACTCACGGCAGAATTATATTTAACCTCGCAAAACGTTTTATTTCCCTTTTTCACAGGGACCTAAAAAGATTGTTCTGGTAAAGACCTCATCTGTGTTTTTACCATGGATGTATAATAAGAACTGGATACAGCGTGGGAGGCGGGGCCTCGTTCATTCCTATGAGAGTTGCTCATTGGCGCATGAAGACAAAATGGCCCAACTTTTGAGAGAGCGAAACGTCACGAAAGTATTCATATAATCATATAATCCGTTCTTATTGTGCATCCATGGGTAAAGGTAAAACTCATGTAGTGCTGAACACGTCACATGAACGTGCCGGGCGGCGCGGTCCCGTGGGTTAGATGCTCATAATGCAGAGGAAAATAACTCTCAGAATAACGTTATTAGCACATTTTTACAACTTGAGGACCGAATGATTCTAATAACGGCTATACAAGTGTTCATACTGGGTAGTTTATTTAGTTTAAAAAAAATTATCCAACGATTTACAGACGTCTCTTTCCCAATGTTAGTCAATGGGAAAAAGTCTTTCCGGGCCCAGCGACTGATACAGAAGTGTAGTACCGCCGTTTGGCCACAACGAATATTTTCCTCAGAGTCCGGCGCACTTCCTGGGGGCTTGGTTTTTACCTGTTCTTAAAGTAGCAGTGTTTAGGATGTAGTGGCACCTAGTGGTCAGGTAGCAGATTGCATCTTACTGAATACCCATGCCATTCGGAAAAAAAAGTGAAAGGCCCTCTCTAAAGCCAGAGTTCTTTTGTACAACACTGTAAAACATGGCACACTCCATGGAAGAGGACCCCCTCTATGTGTAGCTTAAAAAGGGTGCTTTTAACTAGAACATACACATCACTATTGTTAGTGTCAGGTGATTGATTTCACACTCAATCAAAGATGTTTTATAACAAAACATCTCCTTCATTTTGATCAGACTTAGAAAATGGATCAGGAATATTCATTTTTCTCCCTTATTTCCCAGGGATTCTGTAGGAAGGATTTTGAAGCAGAAACAAACGTTTCAACTATTTCTGGCACACAGAGGAAGTGAAATGAGATTGAAAACACACTTCCAACATGTTTACTCTGTTCAGACTGAGAAGAGAAAGCAATTATATGAAAACATGTAGTGTAGGAGAAGTAGTAACATCTTTTCTATATTAATAAATTGTAAGATGTTTTAGAAAAAGTGCATTTTAGTGCTGACAGAAGTTCCCCTTTCTTTCATCCACCGTTGATGTAAATCTGAATCAATTATAATAATATCTATTAATTAATTGGAGGCTTTAAATGTGGCGGTGAATCTGAGCGGGAGCTGTTTGGAGAGACAAAGAGGGCTCCTTGATGGAAAATGTTCAGTCGGCTGCAGCTTATCAGCCGGTGGAGATGATCACTTTATCTGAGGTATTTTCCATCGTGCCGTGTCATCACATGCCAGCCACCACCCGCATCTCCTCTGGGAGCCATGGAGAGCACTTTATCAGCCTCATCGCACGGTTAAATTTAGTCTGAAAGCATTTAAAACACCATCACTGATCTCAGCGTGCCTGCTCTGCGATATAATACTGGAGGAATACGGCTACTTTCTATTTTTAAAAGGGCAGAGCGGCTTCTGTACAGTACGGTATTTCATTTTCCTGAAAAAGGTCCTGGAAGCAGAAACACACCATCCTGAGAGTCCTGAGAAATATACTTTCAGCTACAGTCAAAACACATAATATATATTCAGTGTTTTCATTTATTTCTTTACAGTTGCTTCTAGGGCTGTGCGATTATGGCAACAATCATAATCACGATTATTTTGGTCAATAATTGATATCACGATTATTAAAAACGATTATCCATTTACTTTGAAAACATCCATATATTGAAAAAAAAAAATGTGAACAGTATGTTTTTAACAGTTGATTACTCTGAACTTTAAGTATAATTAAACTGAAAAACCAATACATTTTTTTTAAAAATAACTTTTTTTTTTTTTTTTTAATAAAAATAATAATCGTTTTATTTTGATTACATTGTTTTCGTAATCGTTGCAAGCCAAAATCGTAAACGAGATTAAAATACTATTAATTGCACAGCCCTAGTTGCTTCACATTATCATAGAGAATTCAAAGTATGCAAATTGTTCTGAATATAACATTAAATATGTAATATATGTAACGATAATGCTAATAATTACTTGCTTGAATATTTCCATTTTACTTTATTCTTCCAGTTCACGATGTAATATCGTACTTATCGCCAAGAGATTTGAGTGACACGTAGAAAGTTGATGATCACTCAGAGTTCACTGAGCATTTCTGTCTTTTTACTTCAGAGTTTGAAACATTGTGAATTGTGCATGTCCTCCAGTCCAGTTGGTTACATATGAAACAATCCCAATGATGCGCTTAACATGCAAAAAGAAAAAAAAACAAGCCTCCTACAGTCATTTAGGAGACGACATGGGACGATGCAAAGGACTCTCTGTAGTGATACCTATGTGTTGTACATATAAGCCTATTTTTCTAACTATTTCTTCACCGTTTCCTGTGATTGTAGATTGTTATGAAATAGGAAATAGTTTAAATGTGTATTTCCTGGATGACATCCTACATTCAACAGTTTTTCAGAGTACCTGCTGCACCATTCATATTTGTTGTTCAATATGTGTGTGAGAGAGAGAGAGAGAGTGTATTGTGTCTGAAACAAGTGGCAGTTTACCAGCAGTTGTTTTTGGGACACTCTGTCGGGAACACAGTTTTACTCTTCTGTGCTAATTCCCCCTCTCAGCCATGTCTGCCCTTGATGTCCCAAAATACACAAAGAATAAATGTCCACACACACACACACACACACACACACACACACACACACACACACAGCCAGAGCTTCACGGATCCCCACAGGACATGGAGCACATTCTGTGATTTCTGGGGCTGTTCTCTCGTGTGCATGTTCATTTATAGCCGCTCTTCATTGTGGAGGAGTTTGACTGTGAGAGGGGGGGGGGTGTGACTGCATCTCTCTCCTGCCAGATGAAGCTGTTTTGCAGCACATATCTGACTGTGAGTCTGAAAGGATCGAGTGACGGTTTCAGGTCATTGCATGTCCTCTAATCCCTCCGTCAGCCCATTGTCTTCTCCGGTGGCCTTTCAGAGCGCCTCAGCTGTGCCGGACACCAAGCTGTCAGATATAAACTCTCCTCATGCCTCTTATTCAAGCTTCTACATGGTCCTGATGCTAACAGGCACACCAACATTGGTTTTTAATATTGATGTATACTTTTTGTATTTAAATAAAGCTGCTGTAATCTATATTTTGTATTAAGAATGAATCAAAGGACTCCCTTACACGAAGGCAAATCACTCGTTTGTTACGTTTTGGAGGGTCGGCTAGATAAAGCGCTAAATAAATGCAGTCTATTGAACATTTGGCATTGGTACTGTACACTACACTTCATTACCCAATGAGCACCAAATGTGAGGCAGACAACGTCAGCAGCTAGATGGTGAACATAGCTAGCTCAACAGCTAGAGTTTCCATGAATGAATTGCAATTGCAATCGTTTTTAAATTAATTCAAAATGTGGTCAAAGCCCGTCCCACAGGCCATAAGACTGTTAAACACCTGCACTTTTGAAAAAACATCCATAACATTCATCTGTTTGCAACTTACAAATTATTTATCTAATATATCATATTCCAGTAACTTATATACAGACTCTTATTGCACTATTTCACTATTTCACTATTTTTTCTGTTTATCTGTGTTATTGTGTTGCACTGTTGGAGGAGCCTGTGACCTAAGATTTCCATCGTCATAACTACACTGTAGCTATGTACAAATGACAATAAAAGCCTTGAACCTTGATGTGAAAATTAAAATTGCAATAATTGTATATACATTATTGCATCTCCCACGGGCTGCCTTAATATCATTTAGTTCATTCTCTTGATTTGAAGTTAACATTGAGTCTGTTTCTTTGTTCTCTCAGCTGAAGCGTTTGGTTGGGAAGCTTCGCGGCAAGTCAGTGATGCACAAGAAGAAGCGTCAGGAGGTCTCTGAGCTGAGAGCAGAGTACGGAGTCCTGCAGAGGACCGAGGAGATCCTGAAGCAGAGACACGAGACCGTGCAGCACAAACTGGTAACTCCTACGTCTTACATCTGATGTGCAACAACTAGAACACCTTTAACATGTTGCTCCACTTCCTACGTCACATGTAGGCTCATTCAAATATACCTCTAACCATATGTTAGGCGTTTAAGTAAACCTTTAGGATCCTACAGGGTAAGCCATGAACAAAAGTATTCCTCGTAAAAAACTACAGGTTAAGTAAACTTTCCTAAATGTTGCAGATTTACATTTCAACGCCACATGAACCTTTCATTATGTTATCCAGTGTACAACTCAACTCAGAAAGTTGCTATAAATCAAGGCTTTCTGACAGGAAGTAGCAACAATCTTGGGTTTTAGTATCAGTTTCACATTCATATCTCTCCATCTTTGACATATTCCCAACGGGCTAAGAATAAAATGCTGAAACGATAAGTCCAACAAATAATAACAACTACTCTGAGTAATTTCAAATGCAAAAATGTCCAAGAAATATGGAGATGTCCTGCTTTTCTCTGTCTTATATCGTATTAAACTGAGTATTTTTGAGTTTTGTACAAAACATTTAGAGACATGACCTTGGACTTCAAGAAACTGGAGTGGACATTTTTCGTTAATTTTGACATATATTAGATTTAACACCCAAACGATAATCTAAAGAAAAATCGATAATGAAACCAATCATAATTTAAAACTCTTCCTGGATCTTCTCCATACAGCACCAAAATGAAATGGGAGAATTATATTGGGTTTTGTTCTGTGTGTGTTCGAGCAGCCAGTAAGAGCTCACTTTTGGTTTACCCCCGGTTTTTAAAACGTGAAAAAGGTTCATCGATACGATAATACTTTAATGGTCAGATCAAGTCTGAAATGTACAGGACGAGCTCTTGGCTAGCGTTGGATTTGGACTAAAGAAATCCCGCTCACTGCTCTATGCTCCATATCACCCCCAATAGGCGCTTTCACACCCGAGTACTTTTCCCCGTACTTTTCCCGTTTAGTTCCGATAGTTCCTGGGATTTTGCGTTCACACCAAAAAGAGAACTTAGTTCATGAGAACTTTTACCCCCTTTGTAGTGCCTGCTAGAGAGGTGGTACTTTCCTTTGATTGGCTGGCCGGATTGCAAACCACGCCCCGTAAAACTCTGAAACGTTTTGTGAAGCCGCCATTGTATTTGCTGGCATTATCATTATTAGCATTAGCATTAGCCCCGCGCACCAACGGAGAGAGAATAACTTATGGCAACACAAATAAAACCATGGGAGCGGTGGAGTGATGAGGAGGTGTCGGTGATGAGGAGGTGATGAGGAGGTGATGAGGAGGTGTCGGTGATGAGGAGGTGTCGGGTGGCAGTATACGCCGTGAAGTTGTTTGCGGCCTGCCAGTAAACCCAAAGCAGAAGAAGAAGAAGTGACGTCAGCGGCTTCATTTGCGTAATCCTCCCTCAGGAACTTATTCCGGTGTGAACGCGATCGGCTCTTAGTTCCATGGGAACTAAGTACGGCAAAGTGCTTGGTGTGAAAGCGGCTATGGTCTCTTTATCCAGTATCCCCAGCCTCTCTCGGCTCTCATCCTCCAAACGTGCCGTTCTCTCTTGATCTCCTGGTTCCTGCGGTTTGTTTTCAACACCGGAGAGTTCCTGGAAATGGCTTGACGCCTGGTTGCGGTCGCAGCACCTGACGTGTTGACAGACAGCCGCCTGACGCAGGCCGAGCGTCTATTCCTGACGGACGCTCATCCCTTTTGTCTCCTGCCCTCACGGGATTTGTTGAATTGCTTTGAGTGTTTCCCTCTGATCACATGTGGAGCTGCTGATGTGTGAGAGCCTCATCTCTCAGCTGAATGAATCTTCATGCATCTGTTGTACTGGAAAAGCGAAAGACAAATGATGAGAATGATCGAGTAGCTCTGGAACGTTTTAGGAGCAATGCGCTCATGGTATAGATGTGGCGCATACATCTTAGTTCCTACCCCTTTCCCTCAACCTATCCTAAGGGAGTCCATGTACGTAGACACGTTAGTTTAGCTGCTATAGGCTTAGACTGTCGGGGGACACCTTACTTCTTCCTTCTGTCTGTCTGTACCTGTGTACTCTCATGTTCCCAATAACCCAGCTTTCCCCAAATGTCTTTTGGGTGTCTCTCTACGCCGGGATCCTCAGTCGTGGCTGAACCTGTCTCTGTGGTCCTGCCTGACTCTCATCATACTACTTCCCTGATGGCTCCCACAGGATTGTTGACATCCTCGTGGATTCATCTTCTTATTATAGACACATGCATTTCCAAACATTTGGTCTACCTATGCTGTAAAATGTATTATCTCTTCGATTTACACACGGCATCTATTGCACGTCTGTCCGTCCTGGGAGAGGGATCCCTCCTCTGTTGCTCTCCCTGAGGTTTCTCCCATGTTCCCCTTTAAACTGTGGGGTTTCTCTGGAAGTGTTTCCTTGTACGATGTGAGGGTCTAAGGACAGAGGGTGTCGTATTGTCATACTGATATTCTGTACAAACTGTGAAGTCCACTGAGACAAATGTAACATTTGTGATATTGGGCTATATAAATAAACATTGATTGATTGATTGAACAAAAACTGAAATGTGCGTTGAACAACATCCCAAAAATCGAAAAAAAAAAAACGATGTGTGTTTTGAATGGAGCTGCAAAGATAAACTGATAGAAAGCTTAATAATTGCCTAATATTTTGATAATCCATTATTATTTTGAATGCAAAAAATGTAGAAAATACAGTTTTTAGTGTATACAATTGGAAATATCCTACTTACTTAAATTTATGTCAGATTAAGGTGAATATATTTGGGGTTTGACTCACAAAACAAGACATTTAAAGTCATCTCCTTGGACTTTGAGTAAAAAGGATGGCATTTTTTTAATATTTTCTGACATTTTATAGACCCAACAATCAGTCTACAGATGAATCAATAATAGGAATAATCGTTAGTTCCAGCCCTAGCTTTGCATCAGTTTTCAACGAGTTTTCAACAAGGTTTTTTATTCTGGTATCTCATAGAAAAAGGAATGCCTTCAAGTTGTGAAGTATCTTAGGCTTAGCGTATTGTGTATATTCCCTCATGTGTTTTCTGTTGTCTTTAAAGCAAACTATGGAGGCGGAGAAGGGCATCTCGGGCTACAGCGACACTCAGGAGGAGCTGGAGCGAGTGTCGGCCATCAAGAGCGAGCTGGACGAGAAGAAGGGACGAACGCTGGACGACATGTCAGAGATGGTAACACTTACTCTCTGATGATGAGGATGTGATCAGAGCTGTCAGGAGGATAATGCTGCTTAACTTCATCATCTCATATACACTTAGTCACAGTTAGCACCTGCTGCTTTCTCTACAGACTTTAAAGGTGTAATACGTGTATTTAAAGGACTAGACGTATGTTATATTTAATGTGGTTTGGTTGTTTCAGAGAAATATATAATTGTAATCCTCTGGTGTCCTGTTTGAGCATCCATCAGCGCTGTCATCAACTGACTTTTATCTAGTTTTAAGCCACATTTTCACCATACACTTTTTAAATGTTGGTGCTTTTTAACTCTGTATTTCAACTGGACGATGTATTTTATTCCTGGGACGCCTGGATCTCAAGTTATCAGAGAAACAAGAAGAGCAAATGCAAGCTAACAGCAGCCGGACCTCATCAGAGAGATGCTGATTTTATACTTGAAACTGCTTTATTCTATATTTTGTCACTGGGTCTGTTTTGTTTCCGGAGAGGAAGAGCCCTCTGAGGATAATTCAGCTACAAGTTAAAACCTCCTACTGTACACCGAACAATGAAGAAATCCTGAGTTTCCTACTTAAAATAAAATGAACCAAAGCAGCAGTTAGTCATCTGGGAGAAGCTAAATGCTGTGACGACAATGGTGGTAACACACAACTCACAACGCCACACAACTCTGTCTTTTTTCATTGTTATGATTGAAAGCTGTAGAAAAGTACACACTGTGCATTTAAATACTGTCAATGTCCTTTGCAATGAACTAAGTCCTTGCTTCTTACAGGTGAAGAAATTAAACTCCATGATAGTGGATAAGAAGTCGGCTCTGGCTCCCATTATAACAGAGCTGCGGTCCCTGAGGCAGTGCTGTCAGGTGAGTGTTTGGAAAGAGCAGTTTCCACCTGAACACCATTTACAGCTGAGGCCTTTATGTTGAACACCATGCATGCTGTTTGTTTAGGTCCTAATGTGCTGTGAGAGAAACATCCTGGGCTTTTTACTGCTCTCTATCACACGAGCACTTCTTCTTCTGGCATTTCAAACACGGGAAACTGCTGTAAAAACAAAAGTAAGGTTTGTGTGTGTGTGTGTGTGTGTGTGTGTGTGTGTGTGTGTGTGTGTGTGTGTGTGTGTGTGTGTGTGTGTGTGTGTGTGTGTGTGTGCTGTGTGTGTGTGTGTGTGTGTGTGTGTGTGTGTGGTGTGTGTGTGTGTGTGTGTGTGGTGTGTGTGTGGTGTGTGTGTGTGTGTGTGTGTGTGTGTGTGTGTGTGTGTGGTGTGTGTGTGTGTGTGTGTGTGTGTGTGTGTGTGTGTGTGTGTGTGTGTGTGTGTGTGTGTGTGTGTGTGTGTGTGTGTGTGTGTGTGTGTGTGTGTGTGTGTGTGTGTGTGTGTGTGTGTGTGTGTCCGTGGACAGGCTCCATTAGGGAATAATTTACATAGTCCATAAATAAAATGCACAATGGGAAAGCCCCCCCACATCGCAGGGCTAAAGCGCAGGATTAGATTTTCCGACACGTATTCCAGGAATCGCTCTTCCATCTCCCGGCAAAGTGAAGAGCTGCGACAGGAAGACATAAGTAGACTTTGAGAGTTAAACTGCACCGAGGGCAGCTGGGAGCTTTGTGGACGAGAAGCAGCTGAGAGGACGAAGATCTGCTCTCTATGTATCTGTCTCAAATCTCATACTGTACGCATGTGTCTCTCAGCTCCTCTGTGTGACTGTTTGGATAGCAAACATTACTTATGAGAAAATATTTTAATTAACGTCTGATTTTAAGATATTATTCCTTGCGACCACATATACACATAACCTTCTATATCAATCAATTATTTCCATATTTAGACCTTGTATTAATATGTATATACTACAACTATTTACACATAACCCGCCCCCCGCCGCCACTGCGTCAGGCCATTGTGTCCTTGGGCAAGACCACAGTACATGACCGTTACATGTATGATATGTGTGTAATGTGTACTTGTAAAGCGCCTTGATGACTTCGAGGTGTGAAGATGGGCAGAGTGGCGCAGTGGGGTGTGCGTTGATCATCAGATCAAGGGGGCGTTGGGGAACACCAGTTCGAAACCCGCCGCCGCTGCGTCTGTAAAGCCGTTGTGTCCTTGGGCAAGACACTTCACCTGAATTTGCTCCTGTGGGTATTGTCCACAGTACATGACCGTTACATATATGATATGTGTGTAATGTGTATTTTGTAAAGCGCTTTGAGCATCTGGAAAAGCGCTATAATAAATGTAAGGAATTATTATTATTATTATTATTATAACAACACACCTGCCTATACATATTTATCCAAACATTTAAAAACAAGTATCAAAAGAAAGAACTGTATAAGGAACATTATAACTAAATAAAAATAGCAAAAAAATTGAAATAAATGTGAGAGAAATGACCCGGATTTATTTATATATTTATACATTTAAAAAATAAATCAGAAGGTTGTTGAAATGCCTTTTTTATTCATATCTGTACAGGAATCAAGCCAGGAGTATGAGGAGAAGAAGGCTCAATATGAAAGCTGTACGGCTGGTCTGGAGAGCAACAGATCGAAATTGGACCAGGTACAGTTCACGAGATAAAATATAGCCAACAATTTAAATCTATTTATATAAGTTTATCTAGTTTTTTTGTATATTTTGTAATGTTTTGGGTTTTCCCCAGGAGGTGAAAGCACTGAGAGACGACACGTCGCAGGAGGAAAACAGATATCATTACATCAACTCCATGTCAGAGGTGAGTTCATTTTATTACAATTTCATTCTTATTACATCTGTTGGATACACAAATAGATGACCAGGCAATAAAGTGACATGAATATCAAAAAACATGCAATAAAATACAACTTACTGTAAAATAAATATGTCCATTATATCTGATTTGAAAGTGAAAGAGCCGTGCAGCTTTCAAAGTGTGCAGAAATATTAAGAAGAATTTGTTAATGTTCCCAATACAGATTATGAGGAAGAGTTTAGGGTACAGAGATTAAAGGTCACCTATCATGCTATTTGTAGGCAATAGCATAGGTCTCAGATATATACAAATATATAAAAAACATGTCTATAAAGTGTTTTGCTCAAAATACCAAACAGATCACCCATTCTAGCCATGCCTCATATCCCTCTATTTCACTTCCTGTTTCTAAAGTGCTGATTTGGGTATAAAGCTTTAAAAAATTAAAAAGGAGGGGTCTGAGCTCATGCGGGACGCGGCAGCTACTGTCTAAACTAAATGCTGCCGTGATGAAACGCCATATCATGGATTATCAAGGATTATCTCTGAAACAGTATGGAGCTCAAACGCTTTCTCTCATATTACGTCCAAAACAGTCGGGCATTGTTCTGATAGCAACGTTTCTGATAGGGCCGTGGGTCCACATTTCAGATATTACGTCATATCGGACGCAAATCTGGATCAGCTCCGTTGTTCCCCCGTTTTTAGAGATTTGGGTACGGAGGAAAAGAGAGAGGGTTTTATTTTCTGACGCTGCGTGAGTTCCCTGACACACCGGGGACACATATTTATGTATAAAAGACATCAAAAAGTGCATTTTGTATGATAGGTCCCCTTTAACATAGAATTAACACTCAAAGCCTCTGACAGTGCAGGAGTGGATAACAGACGGTCACCTGCCTCTAAATTCCCCCAAAGTGATTCTCTCTCTCTCTCTCTCTCTCTCTCTCTCTCTCTCTCTCTCTCTCTCTGTCTCTGTCTCTCTCTCTCTCTCTCTCTCTCTCTCTGTCTGTCTCTGTCTCTGTCTTCTCTCTCTCTCTC